AAGTAAAATTATCCCAGCTACGACAGACAACAAATATTACATTTATAGTATTACAACTAAAACTGTTTTTGACGCCGCCACCGCAGTTTGTCCTTCATGAGCCTTCGTAGACAAGATGGCGGCTGCTTGTGTGGCGACCCGCGGCCTTGGAGATATAAACAGCTTTTTATAAGGTAAAAATAATAAAACAAGGTCTTTGTCTGCAATGATTAGACATGTTTTTTATTATTGTCATTAGTGATTATCTCAATTTCGGCTAAAAGAATTGACAAAATCCTACACACTGTGCCTTTAAAACCTATATTTATATTAAATGAAGTGAATATTTTTTCTAAGAAGTTGGTGGCAGGCTGCAGTGAAGTCACTCAGACTGCCAGCTGAGTAACACTGGTCTACAGACTGTGAAAAATAAGTTTTTTTCACATACAGTATGTTCCTCTGCATTCTTCATTAGACATGAAAATATAAAGGTCTGTACTTATTTATGTAAAATAACACATTGTCATTCAAGCATTAAAATACTTAAAATGCATCAATAATTTCATAATAGTATTACAGCCCTTTAAATACAAATTAAATCAAATTCCACTGTTAATACAATTGTTGTTAAATTAGGCAAAACCTTATTTTTTTACAGTTTACTGGAGCATCCTGTTATGTTAATGAGGTAAACATCACTAACCTGCTATTGGGCTTGAGAAGAGACCCAGCGCGTGTTTGTCATCAAGCCACTTGATGTCAAAGCTTCTCTGCCTGAAAACATTCAGCAGTCACATGAAGCCAGTAGAAAATATTTGAAAACAAATAACTCCTGCAGATCAAAGACATATTATTAAGAATCTCACCTCAGAGATCTGACCTCTCAGGTCAGGAGTCAGCCCTCCATAAAGATGAAAAGTGATTACTGAATCGATTGGAACTAGAAGCAATTTAAGTGATTTTAAAGCAGTTAAACTGTATTTTAAATTGTGTGTGTTTATCAAGGTTCATATAATCATGTTGGATTATATCATAGCTTTATGCTTCGGTCCTTTGTATCCAGACTTGTGGCAAGAATCAAACTACTAAACTACTACCCTAAAGTTGAACTTTTCTCAACCTGACATTCGAAACAAGAGCAAAAAGCATAGCAATGTAGTCAAACTTCAGTGATGCACGTTATTCAACTTGAAGTGAAAAAAAAGCAAGACAAGTGAAGATAAAACATGTGGATCATGCCTTAAATTATGACCGCACAACAAAACTACACAACTTTGTTTAAACAGTACGGAGCCCGCGTGGGGACATGGGAGGATTTTTCTCTTTTGTGTTCACGCAATATTTTTTGCTTTACATCACAAACATTTGCATTCGCTCGCAATATTGTTTTGCGTTATATGAACCGAATTAAATCCAAGGAGGTTCTATAGAACTGGAGTGTGCAAAAACCATGTGACCATGTGATCGGCTGGAGAAGCTAACGGCTAACGCTAGGCCATCAAGACAGGATTACCCATTACTGTACATGTTGACAACAGAGCAGAAAAAAGGACTGATGTAGAAATGATAAAAACTATTAATAATATATTAATACAATTATTATTAATATTTTACAGTTTATATAATCTAATGTTTTAAATAATGTCAGAAAAGCTGTTTGTGTTATGGATTTATTAACAGAAGATAAACAGGAAAACGTCTCATTTTACAACACAAGTCAGCAGATTTGATCTTATTTAGCTCAATGTGATCTGAGCAGAACATAATGTAACAGTTTAAAATTAAAATAATCTTATAAAGTCCATGTAATCACTGTTATTTATTGAACTGGTTAGCAGATATTACTGTAGCTTGTGGAGCATATATACAGAGTTTAGCTCTGTTGAATCATGTTACAATTTAACACAAACTATTAAATATTACTTTGTCCTCTGATTAATATTTAGACCTACAGAGTGTAAAATAATATTATAAATGTCTGGTTAATATTTAGACCTACAGAGTGTAAAATAATATTATAAATGTCTGGTTAATATTTAGACCTACAGAGTGTAAAATAATATTATAAATGTCTGGTTAATATTTAGACCTACAGAGTGTAAAATAATATTATAAATGTAAGTATTTTTAGGTTTCTGTTAGAGGAACCTGACCTGCTGAGAAGATGTTAGCTAATAGAGACAAGTTTCATCCTATAACCAGAGAACATTTTCTAACTGTTGACTGGTAAATATAAATATTATTATTTTTTTATGACAGTAAGAAGAAATAATAAATATACTTTATTACTCACTGAAGTCATCACTTTTCAACAAGCTAATCGCAGGGGTGTCAAACTCCWGTCCTCGAGGGCCGCTATCCTGCATGTTTTAGAGGTTTTCCAGCTCCAACACACCTGATTCAGTGATTGAATTAACTCTTCAAATTGGGCAGAAGCCTGTTAATCACCCAGCGATCAAAATCTGGTGTGTTGGAGCAAGAAAACCTCTAAAACATGCAGGATAGCGGCCCTCGAGGACAGGAGTTTGACACCCCTGATAATGTCTAAGTTACAGGCTGACTTCAGGTCTGGTTTAGATCATTGTTACTTATAAATTATATATTTTTCTGGTATAAATCTGCTGTTTTACATGATTGTTGAATGAAATTAACATAATTATTAATTTATTGTAAAAACATGACAGATAATCTGTGAAACAGATCCAGTTCAGCTGCTGTTTATCTTAGTTTCTATGGAGGCTGTGAGCTGTTGTCCTGTTTGGTCTGTTTCTGCTCCTCCATGCTGTCACAGATGCTACCAGTGGACGTATGGGCGGGGCTCAGTCTAGTGATCTTTATATTTAAATCTATGATTAAATCAGACTTTTATTTTGAAATATCCGGTTACCAAAACAGGATGTGTCACTACAAGTTTGTGAAATTGATATTGATGTTGCGTGGCTGCACTGTGTTAAAATATCGTACTTCCATGCGTGGCTGTGTGATATATTCATTCTGAAGCTGAACTGAAGTAGCAGGCTAACTCAACAGTAATAAACTACTTTTGCTAGGTAAGGCTATTCTGTTGCAAACGCAAAAGAAAAAAAAAATCTGCCGTGTCCCCTCGCGAGCTCTGTAAAATAAAGAGCATTACCAAAAACAAAACAGATATTTTGATAAAAGAAACATGGATGCATACATACTGGTAGCACTGAAACAACTTGAGGAGGTCTTCTGTTTTGAACTCTGAGGGGAAGTCGTAGATTTCTACAATATGAGAAAGTTCATCCTCTCTGAGGTCGATCTCCTCCTCCTCTTCACCCTGGTCCATGTTATAATAGTCAAACCTGGGTTCCTGTTTCGACTCCTTCTTTCTACCCTCCCTCACAGCCAGCTGGGAAAGTAAAGCAGTAAGAGATGGAAGAAGAGACGAAGAGTTTTGCATAACCGTTAACTCATCAAACTAATTTAGAGTATGGCTGAGAAAAGCTCATTGATCAAAACCAAATCAAACTCTTACCTCCTCCAGCAGATGTGGATCCAAACAGTCTCCGTCATCATTAAACAAAGTGTCCCAACTCTCCTCTTCAACCTGAGTGCATATAGCTTCAGGCTGTGTAGCTTCTGGTTCCTCTTTGTTTAAGTCAGACTGACCATTAACCCCATCCTTCCCATCAGGCTGGGCATCATGACTCTGTGCACTTCCTTCCCCAGCAGACGTTGTCTTACTTGCTTTATCCTTCCTGTTTTTGGCATTTTTTCTTGCCTTGTCGGTGTAACGAGGTTTGGGTCTTGGTTTAACTTCTCCCTGATTCTGGGTTTTGTCTTTGGGACCCTGAAGTCGAGTTTTGGGTACATACAGAGCCTGACCTGGTCTCTTTGACTGAGAGGGAGGTTCATGTGTTGGCTGGGTTGAAGCACAATCTACCTTTGGTTTTTCCACTTCCATGATGCTTAAATTATCAACACATCTGCAGAGAGAAACGAAGACGTTCACTAAAACACCTGTTTACAGGTTAAATGTTCACAAACAAGTGCTTATTGAAAATACAAACACATATAAAATGTAAACATAAAGAAAACTGTTTCTGGACAATAGACATAAAATTATTAGATTATATTAGCTACAATTATAAAAGCTACAATTAGCTAAGTTGGCTAACTAAAGCTACACCCGACGAAGCAGTGCGTTATATATTAAAAACAAACAAAACATAAGAAATATCAGTAATATAAACACGTTTAGACTCTAGTATTTTAAACTGATTCATCCCAACAACAGGAAAAATCACCGCTTTCTTCTTACCCGTGTTTACAGGTTTGTTTAACATCAGTTTGGTCGCGCTGCTGACGCAGACTCGTTCTAATCGCAAAGCATTATGGGAAACGCAGTTCTTTTAGTTTTACCTAACTAAACCAGCTTCAAGGAGCAGGAGTGATTTAGTCTTTATTGAAACATGTGTTGCTTTTATAGCTTGTTGTCTCATGTAATATAACATCATAACATAATTGTGTTTTTGTGTTGTGTCGACATGTTGTGTTTCCACAAAATAAACTACAAACGAAAGGAACACGGATGTCAGCGACTCGCGTACAGAAATACAGGCCTGCCATTGGCCAATTTCCTGATTCATCTGAAATCCACTCGCTGATTGGTCAGATTCCACCACATTACACAAGCTGTTTCGTAAATTTTACATTCAGTCCTTAGGCAAGGTAAAAAGCTTCTTATGTAAAACTGCACCGTGGATTTAGCAAGATTAGATCGGCTGCATCTGCTCACTGACACGGTAAGAGGACTGTATGGTTATAAAAGAGTTCCTCTGAGCGCATCTGCTGCTCAGCAGGCAAAGTCTGCGAAACACGTTACATATGCATATGGAGGACAACATATCATTGTCTTATTTCTTGTATTTTAATAATAATGATAAAAAGCAGAAGTTTATATTTGTAACAATATATGGGGAAAATATAGTTATGCTACTGCAGTAACAAAAAAATTGTTTTATTTCTAAATAAATGTGAAAATATTGTTTTCATAAACATTTAAATTCGGAATGTTTATATTTACTAAAATCAGTGGCTGCCACTGATTTCAGTTTTGCACCTAGATTATTTCATTTTAAACAGTTTATCTTTTTATTTTATTATGATAATATAAGTTGTATTATATTACATTACATTTATATATACTTTATACATTTCAATGTGTAGTGTAAATTAATGAATTAATAAATCAAAACATTAAAGATGTATKTTGAACTAAACTGCATTTATTATTATTTATTATTTATTATTATTTGTTTTTTTTCCTCAGGTTGCAGTAATGTGGGGTTTAGGTCTGCTGGTCTTCCTGGCTCCACTCTTGCACCAGTGTGATGCTCAGAACTCTGAACCCATGCTCCAGGACATAACACAGACGATGCTTCCGCCCGACAGCGTGCACAACCCCACACAACTCAACTATGGCATGGCTGTGACAGATGTGGATGGAGATGGGGACTTGGAGGTGGTGGTGGCTGGGTGAGTGGTGAAAGCTTTAAAGGTACAGACACTGATGTGATGATGACATGTAATCCTTTTACTCACCACCAGGTACAATGGGCCAAACTTGGTGTTGAAGTTTAACCACACCCAAAACAAACTGGTAAACATTGCCACCGATGACAAAAGCTCTCCGTACTTTGCACTGAGGGATCGACAGGGAAATGCTATAGGAGTTACAGCCTGTGATGTGGACGGGGATGGACGGGAAGAGATCTACTTCCTTAACACAAACAATGCCTACTCTGGTAGGAAAAGGATTTCCATTCTCACTTCCAAGTAGGGCTGCCACAAACGATTATTTTTATAATCGATTAATCACCGATTATTTTTTTCGATTAGTCGACTAATCAGATCATGTGTTAATTGAATATAAAACATACAGCTTATCGCACCAGAATGCAGCTGCTATTAYATAACCATCGTTAGATTTTAGCTATATGCTAACWAAAAATAATTGCTGTGGAAGGCAAGTTCTGCTCTGCAGATATTACACAGGTTTCTCTTTCATTTTCTTAAAAAGTTCCCACACTTTTGAGCTCCTGTAGTGTCCAAGAGTGGGGGGCCTCTTCTCGGGAATGCACAGATGTGATGTCTCTTGGTTTTTCCAGCTCCAGAGCTCGGCACATATTACCATATTAGGAAGAAGGTATACYATGACAAAATTTATGGTACATCTGTGAAGCCTATAAAGGAGCCTTGTACGCCCCCACCCTTGGCCTTCGTTCTCCATCTTTCTTACTTGGTGAATCATTTGGCTTGGAGGCCATAATTTGGTTTTTGGCTGTAATCTCCTGGCCTGCAAAATAAAGATTCTTGCTGTTCAACCAGCCTGTTTCAGAGTTTCTCTCTTCATTGAGCAACAGCAGTTCCACTTGAACCAGAAGACGTGGTTATTTTCACCTYACTCCATTTCCAGGTAGCCATGATACCAGAGCCTGATATCAGGCTCTGGTACCAGAGTGTGTATAATGTCTTGTAACGTCCACGGCCTACCCCAGTTACCACTACTGTGCATGTGTGTCAAGGACAGAAAGGCAGACGTGGCAGTGGAAGATGTCAAAGCAGGTTGGAGAGAAAAACAAAGTAAAGAACAAAAAAAAAAAGAAAACAATTAATCGATTATTAAATTAGTCATCAATTATTTTAGTAATCGATTAGTCATCGATTAATCGACTAATCGTTGCAGCCCTACTTCCAAGATACATTCTTTGCAGAATAATGTCAGGTACTTGATCTGTCATCTGGTAAAATGAGTCTGTTTGTGCAGGGAGGGCRACATATTCAGACAAGCTCTTCAAGTTTCGCAACGGTCGCTATGAAGATTTGCTCAGTGATGAACTTAACATACGCCGTGGTGTTGCCAATCAAATGGCTGGACGTTCTGTTGCATGTATCGACAGAAAGGTCTTGAAACCCACCTAATCAATATTTGACCTTCGCTGTTTCTGCGTTCCCCGTTGCTGTTTCATAAGTGTGTTCCTTCCACTGCAGGGAACAGGTCGTTACTCCGTTTATGTAGCAAACTACGCCCTGGGTCAGACTGGCCCCCACGCTCTTCTAGAAATGGACGAAGCTGCCAGCGATGTACCCAGAGGGACGGTTGCTCTGTCTGATGTAGCTGCTGAGGCTGGAGTCAACAAGCTCACAGGTGAGAAGACAGGCTGCGGAAATGCAGCGTGAAGCCTGAACAGCAGAAGCCTTCACAGTCTGCTCCTGCTGCTTGTCACTCAGGTGGTCGCGGTGTCGTCGTTGGGCCCATCCTGAACCAGATGAGGTCTGACGTGTTCTGCGACAACGAGAACGGACCCAACTTCCTGTTCAAGAACAACAGAGATGGCACCTTTGTAAACGTGGCCAGGCAGGCAGGTAAGAAATCAAACTGGAAGAGAAGATAAGGAATGATTAAAAAAAACTCTACATCTATTCATACGTGTGTACACTAAAACCTGCGCAGTCATTTTGTTTACATATACCACTGCATATTGACACGTCATACTGATGATTACAAAATGCTGAGGAAATAACTTGCTGTTTACATTCTATAGACCAGAGTAAGAGTTAAATAAGCACAAAGTCAACAAATAAATGAGCTTTGATGGTTYAAAAGTCTTTACTACTAAATCTAACTGCAATGGTGAAATGGTTTTGTTGTGGCCGTGTGTAAAAGGTGTTGAGGACCGGTACCATCATGGCAGAGGAGTCGCACTCGCTGACTTCAATGGCGATGGGAGGACAGACATTGTCTACGGCAACTGGAACGGCCAACACCGACTTTATTTACAGACCAGAGACTCCAGGTTTCATGTGAGGAAACAGATGGGGGAAACAGGAAGTGACTGGTTTAAAGGGATCCATGATTAGTTGTAACATTAGACTTGATTTAATAAACATATATTTTAACTGTAAAATAA